CATTAAAACAGTGTGAGTCTACATTTCACTGTTGTTTCTATTTATCTTCAGATTGTAAGACACTGGAAACCACCCAATCTCAGTGAGTGAATGGCAGCTTAAAGATGGACAATTTCATGTATTTTTAAGTTACCATAATGTGGTGGTTGCTTTGGAATGTCTGGAGAGATGTTTTTAAATTTGAAAAGTTCTAAATTGGCTCATGAAGGATATTCTATCCTTAATTGCTATGAAGAATGGGGAATGGATAAAGTTAATGGAATAACTGCCTAGCATTTCCAAATAAAAGATCCATGATATCTCCAGATAGTATGTGACCCTCATCATGTGTCTGAAAATGATTGGCTTTGATGGGATTCCTTTTGAGTTGTGCAATGGCCTGAGGCCTTCTCTTGATGTACTGCTCTGCTGTGGGTTGGAAAGGGCTTTCTCTCTGTCTTCACTCTAAGATTAATGCATATCTCATTAATGTGGCATGAACTTTACATTCATGTTCCTACATGCTGAAATGAAAACTGACTTCCATGCTCGGGATTAATGGCGATCTGAGCTAATAGGTAGATCTTGCTGTTTGATTGGAGAAATTCCTCTCTCAAATAAAGCCTTTTTTTTTCATTTTTTTGGAATCATAGAGTTTGAAACTTCCTAATTCTAGAGAGTCCACCTTGTAAATATTTTGCTGAGGAGAGATAAGAACCTTATAGTAGGCGACATGAAAGAAACAGCAGCCAAGACACAGAGCAGCCTGGGGTCTATGCCCCATTCTGCTTTCATTTTGCAGGCTTTCCTAGGATGATGATGATGATGCCATTCACCCAGGCAGGAGGAGGAGGAGGAGGAGGAGGAGGAGGAGGAGGAGTGGGTTCATATCAAAAAGAAAGAATGCTCTAGGAAAGGTTATTGTGTGTGTGAGGGTTTAGGGAAAGAAAGAATGCCACAACCAAGGTTCTATAAATAATGAGCGATGACAAATATTTGGAAAAGCCAGACCTTGTTAACCATGAAATAAAATTCTAACTGTATCCCAAATATGGAGAACTACTGCAATATTTTAAACACAAGAATGTTGAGATTAGATCTTATTTGTGGTTTTTGCAAAGGTCAGTTTTGCAATATGAGGAACAGATTCCAAGGGAGGAGCAGAACGAAGACAGGGAATAAAACCGGAGTCTTCAGGACACATCCAGATGTGATTACAATACCACAGGAAAGAGATGATGATGAAGTGAATGGGAGTAATGGCCACAGATAGAGAGAACTGTAAGATCTGAGCGATGCTTACACAGGTGGATCAGCAGAACACTGACATACCGCTGCCAGTGAAGGGCAGGGAGGGAGTATGATTTCTAGTTGGTTATTAGGTGGATGCAGACTCCACTTATTGACACATCCAACAAATATCTGTTGAATGTCTACCATGTGCTGGGCATTTTTTCACGTACTATGCACATGGCAGCAAACAGATTCTGTCCTTGAGCTTATGCTGTACTAGATAGAAACAGACAGCAAATTATCTATTTTGGTAAATATTACTAAGACCCATGAAGAAAATGATAGAGGGAAATGGAATGCAGAGAACTGAAAGGGAGCCAGCCAGTTGACAGTATAATGGGGGAAGTGTTCTTTCAAAAGGGGACATTTGAGCTGAGAGCTGAAAATATGGGGAACCAGCTGCACAGCTGATGGAGGAGCACTGCAGGACAGACAACAAACACAAAGATACACGTGTGGGAACAGCTTTGGCAACCAGGGAATAGAAAGAAGATGGAGGTGGCTGAGGCCCAGTGAACAAGGATGGGGAGGAAGGGTACCACTCTCAGAGCTGAGCAAGGCCAGTTCCTACTGGGGCCACCCATGAGATCACTGAACACAGAAGGCAGTTTTGGGGGTAGCATGAGATGAAGGAGGCTAGGAGTTCACTTGGACATTGCTTTGAAGGCTGTAGGAAATAGCCAGTAAAGAACGAAGGAAGCATCTCCTCTGTACCAACCCCTGTCAGGGACTGAAGACAGAGACAAAGAGAGCATGACTCATGGAGCTCACCAGTTTGCAGCAAAGGGACCAGGAAACACAGGTTTCATATTCTGCACAGGTTGCTGAGTTAGCTTGGTTTATTTTGAGTGAGGTGGCTTGAGAGGCCACCGGATCTCAGAGGTTGTTTGAGGTTTGACATTTTCCAAGTTCTACTGCCCACGCATAGTGTGAAATGAGGGAAATGATTTAGCTAGCACTTCACAAGCTATCTCGCCACACTGACTGGAGTTTCCACTAGTATCATATAAGGTAATTTTAGCAGAAAAAAAATCCACTACAAAAGAAACTCAGCCAAGTAGAAAAGAAATATGACATTCCATAAATATTAAATAATATTTTTATCCTCTATGAAGGGTGCTAGAGACGTATCAAAAATTCCAGACCAACCTTCAAAGCCTGATGCAATCTTCCAGCTAAAAAGGCAGGCGTGTTCCGCGTACAATGAACTGTTTTACATATTTTAAAAAAAGCAAAATAATTATTAGCTTCATGTACTAGAAAATGAGTTAATCAATAGTAAAATGTCTTTAGAAAAAGAGTCTTTGGACTGTTATCTCACTCTCCCCTCCTCCTCACTACTGACTTTTATTTAGAATGAAAGAAAGTCTGCTTAGCCTGAATTTCAAAGCTTTATAATGTCATATTTGCACAGAACTTTAGAATGGTAATTATCTTCAGCCACAGGGAAAATAAAATTTTGTGCCAAAGAAACTCCCACGAGTCTGACTCATCTCCACATCCCAGACACACTACACACCTTGGCTTATGCTGATCTTCCCTAGGGTATACCAAAGCTCAGTTTCAGTATCTTTGGCTACTGATGAATAACTTGGGCCTAACGACTACAGAGATGTGGCTCCAAATAACTCATAAGGTAAGAGGAGCACTGAAGTTCAACTTAAAACCAACTTTTCCTACAGAAGGATTTTCCTTCAAAATAACTGGATTAGGATGTATAAGGTGGTTAGAGTCACTATATCAGAACAAATACCTGCAATTTAAATTCACTCATCCCAGAAACAATACAATTTGACAAATCTTTATTTTGAAATATTAAGCAAAACAGAAATAAGACCAGAAAAAAATAATCTGGCAAGAACATGAGCAAATTAATTTTCCTTGTGGTAAAGTAAAAATAGGAGTAGAAAAGCCTGTAGAGAACAAACATATTTATGAAGCATAATTAGTTTATGCTCTTAAATCCTATCTATGAATATGGCCAAAAGTGAATGGATTTTATAAGGAACTTTGGGGCTCAGAACAAGTCTTGATTTTCTCATAGTGGATTACACATTCTCTCAAGGGAAGTCAAAGACTTGGTTTATATAAGTGACTTAAGGACAACTTAAGATGTGAAGTTGCTGTCGACAAGAAAGCAACGATTTTCCCTGGTACCACCTACATTTTCTCAAACGCATGTTAATCCTTAATAACTTGATCAAAAATCCTTATGACTTCCTTTATCCCACTGAGCCTTTCAACATTTCCCCACACTTAGATCTCTTCCAGTCCTTCCTCTCCCTTTAGCTAGCCTTTTTCATTATACCCTTATGTACCAGGTCTGTTCTTGTCTGAAAATGTGGGGAGCAGGAATATTCTAGTGGTAAGGAAACTTACTTTAGCACCCAACACCATAGGTAGGGACACTCAAGGCATCCAAGAAAGTAACTATTAACAAAAGTTCACAATTGCCTGTTTACACCCTCTTCATTGTCTTATAACTGGGCTCTGTCTTCCCATAGGCCCCATGGTAGTTTGAATGAGAATGTCCCCCATAGGCTCCAAGTATTTGGGCATTGTGGCTCTGTTTTGGGAGGTCTTAGAAGCTGTGGCATGCTGAAGGATGCAAGCCACTGGGGGCATTGTTTCCTGTGCCTGCTTGAATATGTGAGCTCTCTTTTCTGTTCTTGTTCCAGCCACCTCCTGCCACCATGCCTCCCTACCATGATGGACTGTGATTCCCCTGGAACCATAAGCTCAAATAAACTCTTCCCTTTATAAGTTCCCTTGGTCATGGTGTTTTCATCATAGCAACAAAAAAGTAACTAATACAGGCTCCTTAATCTGGCTTGCCCCTAATCTCAAGCAAGCACTAAAATGAGGAGCACACTCTTCTGGATCAGCTCATCCCACAACTCAGCTGCCCACAGCGAGACATATGCCTTTTAAACCCAGTTGACCATGCCCTCGTGCTTGCCCAACTTCTCCTTAAATATTTCTATTCAGTTCTGCTTGATTTTGAGACTTGCATATTTCTCAGGTCAAAGCGTCTCCCTATTGTACTAGTGTTTCTGAATAAAGTCTTTCTTTGTCTCAGTCTGGAGTTAGTTTATTTGACAGCTAGTAGATTCCCATCATTGAGCAATTCTGAGATGATACAGCTCACATTGTTTTTCATGTCAAAAATCATGTGCTGACAAATTGCATTAGAATCTCTGCTTATGAAATATCCCAGAATAGAGACTTCTATAAAGATAGAAAGTAGGTAATAGTTGCCAGGGTCTGCAGGCAGGGAGGCATGGGAATGACTTCTAATGGGGACAGAGATTCTTTGGGGATGATGAAAATACCCTAAAAATCACTGAATTTCACAGTTTGAATGGGCAAACTTTATGGTGTAAGTTATATAAGTTATATATCATTGGAGAGAGAGAGAGAGAGAGAGAGAGAGAGAGAGAGAGAGAGTGTGTGTGTGTGTGTGTGTGTGTGTTGGGTCCTGGGAATCAAGCCTAGGGTGGCCTTTCACATGCAAAACAAGTGCTCCACCATCAAGCTGTATACCTAAACTTTTAATGCAAAAAAAAATTGAGAGTAGTTCACTCTAGTGGCAGACTGAAATAGAGAATGAAAATGTGATGTATTTTGAACTTTTGGTTGGCGTGTGAGTTTATTTTCCTTGACAAAATAATGTACATTATAGCCTAATTTTAAATTTTATTTATTTTTACTATTTTATGTATGTAAGTGTAACCATGTTGTACAATGCCCATGGATGTCAGAACAGGGTGTCAGATTCCCCTGGAACTGGAGTTACAGAGGTTGTTAGCTGCCGTGTGGGTGCTGGGAATTGAACCTGGGTCCTCTGCAAAAGCAGCCAGTGCTAACCACTGAGCAATCTCTCCAGCTCCTGCAATTTTTAAATTAAAAAAAAAAATTTATCTATTTATCTTTTATTGTATGTGTGTGAGTATATTGCCTGCATGTATGTAAGTACACCCATGTCATGCAATGCCTGCAGAGATCAGAAAAGTGCATTGGATCCCTTAGAACTGGAGTTATGAATGCTTATTAGTCTCCATGTGGGTGCTGGGAATGGAACTCAGGTCCTCTGAAAGATCAAACAGTGCTCTTAACCACTGAGCCATCTCTCTAGCCCCAGATTTTATTTCAGTTTTAATGATGTATATATGTGGAGGGAGTTTGTACACAAGTAGAGTGCCTGTGGAGGCCAGAAGGGGGTGTCAGATTCCCCAGAGATAAGAGTTATAGATGGTTGTGAGTCACCAGATAGGTGCTGCAAATCAAACTCAGGTCTTCTGGAAGAGCAGCAAGTGTCTTAACCACTGAGTCATCGCTCCAGTCGTATAACCCAAATTTACTCCATAATTCAATGTAGACTTCTAAGAATGTTTCTTAATTTAGTGTTGCAGCTTGAATGTGAAATAGCTCTACAGTTCCATGTATCAAATGCTTGGTCAGCCTGCACTGTTGGGAGGTGCTGGAACTTTTAGAGGTAGGGCCTAGTTAAAGGAAGTTGGACCCTTAAAGGTGTATCTTTGAAGGGGGTCTAAGAACCCAGACCCTTCCTGTCTCTTTCTTTGCTTCCTGGCTGCCATGAGGGGAACCTGGCCTCCTCTGTCATGTGCTCCCTCCACTAAGTACTATATCTCCACAAGCCCAAAGCAACGTGGCCAAGCAACCACGGACTGAAAGCTATGCACTTGTGAGCAAACACAAACCTTGCCTCATTTTAAGTTGATTGCCTTAGACGGTAAGTCACAGAGATGGAAGCTGATGCTCAGTGAGTGAGAGACTGCACAACTCAATAAAATTTTTCAAATGCTGCAGCTTAGCAAAAGCAAGCAAACAGGAAATCCTACAGCTCCATGTCCAGCATCTGGGCAACACAGTGGTGTGATGTGAGCTCCATTGGGCTCTATTGTGTATTCCTTGGTTATCCCAAGAAAGTTATTAAATCTCTCTGAGCTCCAGGTTTACCATGCCACCAAGGGGATGATGCTAGAATCTAATTTGAAGGATTGCTTCAAATTAAATAAGTTTGTGTTTGTAAAGAGTTTAGCACAGTGTTCAGAACACAGTAGTTATTTAAAAATAAAATTTAAGGCATCTTAATTGGGAATCTACCATTCAGAGGTAGGAACTAGCATTGGGATGATGAATCTCAGGCTCTAATATAGAGGATCTAGTTAGCTTTATTTCACTGGAGGGGCTATGAATGCAACAGATGTTAGAAATGACTTCCTACAGCCCTTGTCAAGAAATTCCAGTGGACTCTCATATGAACATTTGAAAACTGTCCTGTTCTGACTTTTTTCTAGTCCCTGTCTAGAATGTGTAATGCTAATTACTCTTGCTTTTATTTGTCCTTCACATCTCCTATTCAAAATTCAAGGACTTTCTTCTCCCCTTAGAGATAAGAGTTATGCAATTTGGGAGTCTTTTAGATAGACCCACTGAAGGGGTACTCCAATTGCCTCACCCTGCATCCCTGTTCAGCATGGAAGAAGCCAGGGAGGTCTGCATCCCGATTCCCTATTGGCAATTTGGGTAATCCCTTCAGAGGATGGTGTGATAACAATAGGAGGTAGGAACTGGCTAGGTAGTTAGGGTAAAAAGACCCCAAAGAAAAGTAGCCAGTATCTTGGCTAAAACTCACAGTGTCCTTGGGCCTCTTAGCAATCTACTCCATGTCAAAGGCCAAAAATTTCAAAAATATTTGGGAGCTTTTATCTAATCCTTAAAAGATTTTAGGGTTACCTCTTCAGAAGGGGGGATGTTAGAGTAGCCAAAAGCCCCATAAAAAAATAAATCAAAGAAGAAAGAGTACATGAAGTTATCAGAAAAAAGTGATGGGGAGATATGGGAGGAGTTGGAGGGGAGGGAGTGGGCACGGATTTGATCAAAATACCTTATATGCATGTATGAAATTCTCAGTAAATTATTTATTTTTTTAGAAGAAGAAATGACTTCCTACTGGAGACATGACAAGGTGTGCAGAGTCCAGGTATTCCCACCATGGCACCAATGGGGAATTCTTCAGGAAGCTTTATGGTGTTGCTAAGTAGGAGCAACTTAGATCTGAACAATCCTATGTGTGTGAGAGCACTTAACAGATTTTGTTGTGTGATTCTTGACTAAACAGGTGAAGAATCCTGCCTTTGAGTTGTGCCCCTTCCTTTGAATTCACCTTTTTTTCAAGGTGCTCTCCTGGTGCCTAGGAGGACAGACTGTGGACACTCTGACTACAGAATAGCATTATCGACTTCTGTTAATATATGTGTCTGTGTAGGAATAGATACAGCCTGAATCCCACCTGGTCACTCAACCAAAGAGAAAGAGAGATCTAGCTTTGACCTTGGCTCCAACTGGGAGGCTTCTGACTCTTCCAGAAATAACGAAATACAGTGACATGCCAAATTAGCTTAAATTTTAGTTTTCAACAAAGCTCAGTAAAAATGCCAATAGAAGGTAATATTTCAGCTCTCGAGGAGGGTTTAATCTAAACATGATGACAAGCCAAATACAGATTTAAAGGGCAATGTAAGAAGTAAATAGATCACTTCATGCAGCATTTAACAATATTTGTTGACTCAGCTGTTTGTACCGTGGACTGCCGAGGGCTGTGCGAGCACAGAGATGGATCAGTCAGGATTCTTAAAGGAGCTTATCTTGACATTGACTTAAAAGAAGTGCAAATAACTCTATTTATTAACACTCAAAGGCTTACCTATGGCCAGCAGTAGGTCTTCAAAATGCCCAGATAACTCTCCTTTAATGCTGTCCTCAATGTCCTTCTGGCTAATATTTCTGTATTCATCAAATGCTAAAAAGTAGCACCATAAAAACATTTAAAGCATCTCAGTTGGCCACACCTGAATATATTTCACTTTAAAAATTTTAAAGATGTAGCAGACCAAGTAGTAAAATATCCTTTAACCATAACATTTGAACACAATGAACACTGAACTTCACAGGCCATTTTCTTCAACTCCTGCCTCCCAGATTAAAGCATTTAAAATAGCCAGAGAGATTACATGACAAATAATTTATCTCTTTGAAAAATTATAGCAGCACCCTGGAAATAATACTGTGGTCAGCAGTCAAATATGTTTACTCCGCTAAAGACATGTTAACTAGCAGGGATTTATGTTTTTAATTTTTTCACATTTATTTCTTTGTGTGTGCATGTGTGTGTGTGCGTGTGTGTGTGTGTGTGTGTGTGCATGTGTG